AATCCAACAACCAAGCCAACGTTACCTTTCTAGACACTTATCCCATAAGTATATCAACTAGTATTATGAGTGGAATTACTGATAAATCTTATTTACACATTCATATTAACAACAATGAATATAAAGAAAACTAGGATTTGCACTGCCAGAACTTCGATACGGAGCACTTATATTAGCCGAGCCCAGATGCCCAAAGCGCCGCTAACTAAAATATTCTTCAAATCCTGAAGAAAAACCTCTAAAACCGGGTTAGACGTTGAGAGAGAATTAAGAGATGGTGTGAAAGTGAATGGGGTCTTAAGGAGGTATTTATAGCAAAATTCTGAGGAGGTGCATCGCATACAGACCAGGAACACACCACCCCCCGCTCAGGTCGGCAGCCCTTCATTGCGACACGTGTCCTTTTTTTCAGTGCTACGTTGTTGGTTTCAAGAAGTGTGCGCGCTTCGCATATGCGCACGAGGCACCGACTTGAAACTTCAAAAATCCGCATCTTATTCATAGGAACTCCATTTTTGACATTCTCTATATCCACCCATAACTATTGATGAGATATACAACTTTCGTTTAGCCTCCGTCGGCTAATTCTCACTTTATTTCTAAAGTTAGATATTTAACAGACTTAGACTGTTAAAGTATGTGTAAAAATCATAACTCTCTCATACGACATCCGTTCTTGAATGTCTTTATATCAATGGACTCCAAATCACGAGATCTTCAACTATCGTTTAGATTGTTTTTCCTAACAATCAACCGATCTGGATTTCAATTTCTGTGCTAATATAGTTGCGTTGAAACTTCAAAAAATCATAAGTTCCTTATATGAAGTCAGATTTGGATGTTCTTTATATGCGTGCTCTTGGTTTTATGCTTCTACGAATTTCACTTAGATTTCTTAGCATAATAAGCAACCTATCTAAAATTCAGTTTTTTACGATACACAAAGCCGTGTTGGTTTAATCACGAAACTTCAAAGAAGTATAACTTCTTCATACGAAGTCAGATTTAAGTCTTTTATATGTCTACGGAAATCATATTGACGTTTTCTACATGTTTTTGATGATTATTGTGGCTCAAAAGTAATATATTTCTACTTCGTATTTCATAATAATTAGTTAATATTACAATCTGCGAATATAGTAAAATGGGGTGTTACACTATAGTTCTAGGATTTTGTAATATACTATGAAATATTGTCCTATTAAATTCCTTGACAAAATAGCATAGTTTTTGTTCTCTCCCTCCAAGGCAAGTGGGAGCTTAATAGATCACAAATGAACCAAGAACATATTATCAAACTCCATGCAATAATTGTTTTGTTTTCTCTCTGTGTAAGTGGAAAGTAGGAGCCTGACAAATCTTAACTGGATTAAAGAATGAAAATGTCTGTCACCTTTAATTGTTACTAGAAGATAATGTGTTGTTATTTGTGTGCAAGATGTACAAAGGTGAAACAGAAAAAAATAACAAACATTCAAGTTTCTAACATAATTACATGAATTAGATCAAAAAACACAAATGTTATGTATCTATTTAAATATATGGCTTGAATGATTGTTGTAAATATGGAACTATAAAGGGCATGTTCGATATATCGTTTTTATAATTTGTGGATTTAATAATATATTATAGAAGACTATCAAATAAAACTTCGTGTAAAATAACAGATCTTGTGTTGTCTCTGTACCACAGTTAATTGAGAGCTTAATAGATCATGAATGGGTCAAGAATGTATTTGATCATGCCATCTTACGAATATGGTAAACAATTTGAATGAATTAAACTGATAAATATTTGTCGAAGAATGTATTTAATTATGCCATGTTACGAATATTTGATCATGTTCATTAATGATAGGTTTTGATGGAGTCACTAGAAGCTTGATCTAAATGCTTCAAATTCAAGTGTGATGTTTCTATGAGTATTTCGATTAAGATAATAACTTAATTTTGATAAATCCATGGTGAAAATTATAAATTTGGAGATGGTGAACTGAAACCCTAATTGGATGGTTATTAGATATGTGAAATTAAGTTAATGTCTTAATGAATTAAGACATCTAGACAAGTTATTCGTAGAGTATAATTAGCTTTGATGATGTTGAAGAATCAACCAAGTTATGTATTAGGGTGGTAAAACCTAAGTAAATGAATTATTAAAATACTTGAAATTAAGCTCATGTCTTAATGAAATAAGACATGTATATAAGTTATTAGTGGAACTTAAATGATTTTGAACATAAAATTAAAATGATAAATTTATGTGATCAAGTAAGTTTCCATTTTTGAATAAAGATTTAGATTAAGCTCTTGATGAAGTAAGACAAGTTATTAAGAGCTTGATATCTTATTTGAATAGGTTTAGGTAAAGATAATTGGTGAAGCGCAACAAGTGAAAAACATAAGTCAAACTAGTAGTTAGTTTTCACTAACTAGCAAGGTGAGTTCATGTGGATTTTTCCTATTATGATACATGGATTAGTTATGAGTTCTAATTCTATAAGATATTTTGAAAGAATATGTTGATATTAATGAATGTTTAGAAAATATAAAAGCATGATTGGAGAAATTAATTACTTGATGCTTTTAAGGAAATTTTGGTATAATGTTTTTTTGGACAAATGAAATCTATGAAAAGTGAATATATTATGTTTAAATACATTTGAGAGAGAAAGGTAGTAGTTGAGGAGTAAATGAAATATTTTCAAAAGAGTGGGCTAAAGTTTTGATTAATATGTAACTTGATTAAATGAGAAGGTTAAAATTTTGATTTGTAAGTTACTTGATTAAATGAACTCTTTTTAAGAGTATGTATTTCTTTATACATGATTTTGAAAGGAAAAGGTAAGATGTAAGCTTACGTTAAAGGTTCTAAAGTCACTAAGGCTTTGACATTATAAATTATGATATGAAAAGTATAATGTCTCTATTGATAGAACATAATATACATATGTGATTGGATCTCCAAAAGAAAAGTGGTGATCATGTATATGTTGAATATAATTTCATAGTATAAAGTAGTGTCTAGAAAATTGTGATATCCTAAAAATGAGATAAGGGACGACTCTACTGGTTCCATATATTCCTTCATGAGGTAGAGGTTGATGGATACCTTAATGGATTGATTTGTTTTTCCTATTTTGGTAAGGGTTGATAGGGTGTAATTTCTACGACTAACCCAAAGGTTTAGATCGATATGTATGTCAATATAGAGTTGTGATAATGTATATATATATATATATATATATATATATATATATATATATATATATATATAAAAGTTACATCGCATGAAGTATGTTGAAATGAAAAGAGTTCTAGTAACTGTTGAATAATGTTTTGATCGGTATACATTGAAGGACTATGTGTGAACTTGGATATATGATACGAAAAAGTTCGTGAGGTTTAATAAGGTTATGATTACACACTTGTGATTACATTTTAAATCATACAAAACATGTGTAAAATGAAAGGTTTATCAAGTGTTTTTAATGATTATGTGTTCAAGCACATCTAACTCACAAGAAATTATTGTCTTACTTGTGTTTGTTTAAATATCATGTATTCCATGTTCAAATATACAGTGCAAGATGATTTGAGATTACATTGATATGAGTGAGATTTTGAAGGATAGAAACTAGGCATAGTTTCGGTAATATATGTAAATTCACGGGTTTACTATGGTTTTGTGTGTTATCAGTTTTACATCCATAAATGGTTGTGGACATACGTAAAATATTTTGTTTTTGTGGAACTAGAATTTGGTAACTATTTTCAAATTGTAAAAATATTTTTGAAACCATAGTAAACATTTAATAAAAAACGGACCGGTGTTACACAATTTTAGTTTGCAAATTCTATTATAACAATGTCACTAAAATGCAAATGAATTTTCTATGTTGTAAGATGGTAGTTTTTTCTAAGTATAACATCCAATTAACTATAAAAATTAAACATATAATTCCTTAATCATTTATGTTTCTCAAAATAGAATGTGTTGAAGAGAAATTTTGTAATACAAAATTGAAAATATAATGTTATAAAACATAAATAAATAAAAGTATGATTTTATTTCTTTTAATCTAATTTACTTTCCGATAATAGCATTATACTAAATATTTATTTACCTAAAAAGCCTACATCTTAGCAACTTTTTACCCATAATAGTAACGAACTTTTGTTTCATGTGTTAACATCATAACAACCAAACTAAAGACCATAAGCACTCAATTCAACATCTTTTATGGTTAGCTTGAGTTTTTGTGCAATTAACAATCACAAACTTCATCAGTCAATTGGATGTTTTCATCTTTAACATGGTATGATTTATGTAAAAAAGAGAAAATTTAGTTTTTATGTTTTTAAAAATATTTCGATCTTATATGATTTAAAAAAAAGGTCAAATGTAAGAAATAATGATTTTGTATCATTGGTTTTCTTATTGTAGCGTCTTTTTTTTTTGTCTTCCTATTACAAAATAATATTTTTAAAATCTAACCAGTTATATAAATGTTACCTAAATACAAAACAATTACACCTAATAGTACAATGCAATAAATGGATAGAGTTTTCAAGACATATTGTCATAATATAAATTCAATAGAATACTATAGTTGGGTATATTATTGAATGTATGATGCTTTAGTATAACATTTTAAAAGTTTAATGTTGTGATGGAAATAAAATATAATTTAAAGCTATAATTTACTAATAAATGAAATAAATGTTATCAAAATACAAAACAATTTCACCAAATAGTACAATGCAATAAATGAAGAGTTTTCATGACATGTTGTCATAAACTCATAATATAAATTCAATAGAACACTATAGTTTGGTATATTGTTAAATGTATGATGCTTTAGTATAATCTTTTAAAAGTTCAATGTTGTAATGGAAAAAAATAGAATTTGATGCTATAATTCACTAATAAATGAAGGTATGCTACTATTTCTAGCATTTAGCCTTTTAAACAATATATAAATATAGTAACATATTTATCTATGCTTTAGAACTCGTAGGAGCCCAAAATCCATGAAAACCAAGTGGGAAATTCAAGGATTTAGGAACCTCAAGTTTTGCCACGATTGCGTTTGTCTCCCCGATCTTCTTGGCATCCAAAATCACTAGATATGACCTTTGTTTGGATACTGCATACTGTAAGTAATTATAATTTAATTAGAGCATTTCTTCAAAATATGATAAAAATTGGGTTAATCTCAACAAATAGCAATAAAATTTTATGATTTACTTATTATAGTAATGCATTGTTGTTTTATATTACATCATTGTACATTAAAAATCGTACCAAGTTATAATCATCCCAGAATTTCCACTTTTATAAGTTCATAATAATTTGAAATTATGATTTTGTATTTATATATCAAATTTGAAACTACAATGGTCAATGTAGTATTAAGAAAAAAGTGAAGTTTTATAAAATATTACTAAGAAAAATTTGGGCACGTACCTCGACAACTAGAAGGTATCCATCATCTTCATTGCTTCCATTCGAGATGAAAATTGGCTCACCAATGAATCTTCGGGTGCCCACCGACCATGTTTGCGTGGATTTTTTCATGGTATTGAACTTCACAACTGTATCAAATGGAAAATGGGGCAATTCTCGACGAACACCTGAACATGTTGCCGCGTATACATACTTATTGTTGCTTCCACTAAAATCTTGGTTGATAACTGGGAAATCCGTTGCTTTGTTCCATTCATTGTTTAACGGATCAACACAACATTTTTGGCAGTTTCCGTTTGCATCTAAGTTAATAGACACCTATATGTCATAGAAAAAAGGAACTCGTCAAACAAATGTGGTCAAGGACTAATTACATGGTAAAACGGGCCTAGGTTGGGCTTCTTTGTAACAATTATTTTTCCAGTTCTTTGAAATTTATACTTAAGGCATGCTTAAACTCTATAGTGGGAGACCCATGGTTATAAGTATCGGGACAAAAATTATACATAATAAAAATTATACTTTATATTAAAATAAACATGTTTTTAATAGAATGATTAATGAAACTAAATGAGAAACCTCGACAAGACGAGGCAACAATTTATCTTCTCCTTTGTCCGCATTCATCATCGAAGGATCTAGTTTACCACTTTGCCAATCATATCCTGGTTCAAGAAAACTACAATTAGTTATCAAAAAGTTTAAATTTTTATTTTATTACTATCTTTGAATAGACAGACTATTGAGAAATACCAAACATTTTCTGAAAATTGAACCACTTGTAAGAACAACCGCTAGCTTGTATTTTAATTTGTGTATTGCCATTGTGATCTGTTTCTTCGAATGCATTTCCAACATGAAGCACCCACATTTGCGAAGGAGCTTCAATCGGCACTTTCCAATCCCTCAATTGATCTCCATGCATTGGAACACGTGGCAACAAATATATTGGAGATGTCAACTTACTAGGATTCACAGACAATGCTGATATCATTGGAGTAAATCCACATACTGCAGTCATTGATCCTACATATTTGTTTTTTCTCAATAAGAAAGATAACAATTGAAATAAAGAACTGCATAACTAATATAATTGTTTCTAACATATTATTGTAGACAAAAATTTTGGAGGATGATGTTTTACTCATTTGTAAACTATTTTAAGTGGATTCACTTGTAAGTTTCTTTATGTACAGCATAAACATACTCATTTATATGTAATATAATTACCAAGAATATCAAGTTTGATGCGATTGCCAAACAATACGTAATGAGAATCTGTGAAAGCCCAGTCGTGTATCATTAGGTGTTCTTCGAGTTTGAATTCTTGTTTCTGTAGCATCTTGAAATTACAATCAAATTCTGCAACATAACAAAAATATTCCATTATTAGTTAATTAAATATACTTTCCGCTAATTAAACTCAAATAAAAGCATTATGTAATATCTAGTTTAACAAAAAACTGACTAAATAAGGTGAAATGTATAGGTTATCATTTAAAAATTTAAACTCAATTATAGTTCTATGATACCGTGACTTTCATATGATATAGGGTTCGATCACAATAAAACTTTAAACTTTATTAAAATATATATCAAAAACAAATAAAATGTATAGAGTTCAATATATTACGATGCACCAATATCATTTAATTATGCTGAAATTATGTTCATCTTCCCAAGAACATGCGATAGTGTATTTTCTTTCCTCACGTATCAAAACATATATCGTATGATACATCTTTTACATAATCTTTTATGTATTTTCTTTTTCTTTTCAAAAAATAAACATATTACGTACCGTAAAAGGTGAAAGTACTGCGTGGGAGGAGCATATCCTCTGCATTGCATGACATCATAAGAAGCCTATTCCTCTCGGCATCAATCTTATAATGCGACAATAGCCGTTTCGGTGGCATCTTGAAAACCCCTGCGTGCACATAACAAAAGATTCCAATATATAATATTCAACAAATAATAATTAATTCAATTCTATTTTTATATTCCTGCCATACAATAGATAATATTTAATAAGTAATATTTAATTCAATTCTTTCTGAATATTCTTACCATACAATATTGGTTTCAATATACTTGCAGCAAGATCCAACACATCGCGAGGGCGATCCAGCGTATGTTGGTCCGAGGTCGATGATACCGATGATCCATCTGAACCGTTGATCAAATCAAACTTTCCAACAGTATCCAACGAGTCAGATTCAATCTCATATGGTGCACCGCCTTCCCACAAGCAGAACAACCGGTCACCCCATCTTAATACACTTGTATTAGCGACGTTTTTCATGACTTTGGTATTTCCAATCTTTTTCCCGTTCTTCAGTACTGAAAACGGGCCACGGTGAGTGAACCGCCACTCACCGGTATGACCATCATGCTCCTCCACCTGAGCAGTGGTCTTAATATATCTGGCCATGAACGTGACCTCACCTTTGGCCCCATCAATAGTAAAAGCTCTAAGATAGCCATGGCCATCTAGAGGATGCACAGTTGAGCCATGGTCGTCCTTAAACAATCCTGGTCCGGTCAGATAATATGTCCCTAGTGGGAAATCTGACGGTATGGAGCCTTCAACGACAAGCAGAACAATTGGATTAGCAGTCTCCGTTCGTTGGGAGACGAACAGAGACTGATAATCCCAATAAGCTGCTGCTTTTTCGTCTTGTACTGAAGTTGATACTTGTTGATTTGGTATAGATATGGAAATCTCTCGAGGAACATGGTCAGGAAATGAGATCACGTGGGGTGGCAGGAGTTTGATTACCGGAGACGATGGTTTCAATGGGATGAAATTGAATGCTTTGGCCTGCATTTTTGTCGAGGGTGGTGGCTACGGCAATTGCAAATTAAAAAATTAAGTTAGCAATGGTGCAATATCTATTTATAGAAAGTACAAGCGGAAATGACAATGATATCCCTTATTGTTTGGTATAATTACTTCTATTTATTAATTGTTTGTTGGTGTAACACTTGTCCATGTCAATTATACTTTGATTTAACGTCACAAATTAATCCTTATAAACTTTAATTAAGTTATGTGTAGGTGGTAATATAGTTTCGTCGGAATTTATCTATAGGTTAAAAGTAATTATGATCAAGATCAATAATGTTTTAACAAAGCTTAAGTAATTTATTAATATTTTTGTTTTTATTTATTTTTAAATTTTATATACATTGGATTCATTAAATTAAAACTATTCCCAGTATTTAAGTTTTTAATTGGTTTTATATAGACGTACTGGGTAACCGAGCAACAAGTTGGGTCATAACCTTTTTTTTGGATGACTAATTAATTAAATATTATTATAAAAATCAAAATATTAATATAACAATTTATATTATTTTAAAACTATTTTAAATACGGTAAACATGTTAAATACATGATGGACAAGTTTTGATCATTAGTTTGTGTTTCCAACTAATTTTTTATGTTATTTTTTAAATTGTTAATATAACAAAAATCGGTAACAATGGATTTAATTAAATTGATATATGTACTTATTTTTTATACTAGAATTGTATTTATGTTCTCTGGGCTAGGTTATAATGTGGATGGACAACTATTGTGTGGACGTGTGGATAATGCTATTTTATGAAAATTACTAAAAAAATATGTTGTTTAGTAATGTGAATACGTTCAATCTCACAGAACTATTGTTATTTTAATGGATTCTCACCAATTCTAATTCATTTTTGTTTTCATTCATCGTTTTTTATTTATTTTAATTCTTACAGAATACGACTCAATAAACATCCTGATAACATTCTGACTGAATGAGAATAATTAAAAAAAGTGTATAATAACCTTATAGACGATTTAATTAGTGAAAATACTTAATAATTAAAATAATTATATAAGATTGAATGTATTCATATTATCAAACAACATATTTTCTTTGTAATTATCACAGAATAGCATTATCCACACGTCCACACAATAGATGTTAATCAACATTTGAACCTAGCTCTATGTTCTATTTCTCTTATAAAAAATATTTAACATGCTAAGTTCTGTTGTTATATTAATTGATTGTACCTACCACGTTTATACGTGTACATTATAATTTTAATTCAATTTAGAAAAAAAACATATATTCGCCAGTAATTAATTATTAAGCACATGTCCATTCAATTTATAAGTTATTAAGCACATGTCTTTTTGGATCATATTAATGTGCAAATATTTTGTCTTGTCATAATTAATTTCTTAAATATGAGTAAGCAGCTTTTGCTGGGTACGGTAATTAATTATTAAGCACATTTCCTCCTCCGTTTAAATTCAACTCCTGGCTGTTGTTGAGAGAGAAAAATGATTTCTAAAAAAAGAAATAGAAAAGTGGAGGAATGCTGAATCACAAAGAAAGAAACAGGAGATGAAAAAACATAGAGATGCAGTTGCAAACATTGAGAAAGTTGCAGAAACACGATCCTATCTGCGATTGAAATTCAGACCCGAAACCATGAATTAGAAAAGATAATGGAGATAGAAAAGCCGGTGGCTTTAGACATAAAACAAAGTTCAAGAATCAAGTAGATCATTGATGGGGATGAAAATACGAAATTCTTCCATGGATTCATAAATAATAAAAACATGAGAAATAAAGTGAACGGACATATGATCAATGGAGATGGACATCGGAGGTGAATGACATCAAAGAGAAAGTATTCAAATTCTTTTAATGTAAATTCAAAGAGCAATGGGGATCAAGAACTATACTTGTAAGCCCTTTATTTCAATCCATCTCCATGATGGATGCCATCAGTATTGAAGCTCCTTTCACATTAGACGAGGTCAAAACTACTATATAGGACTGTGGAAGTGAGAAAGCGTCTGGGCGGCCTGATTGATTAACATTCAAATTCCTAAAAACCATTTGAAGCACCATTAAAGACGATGCGATGATGTATGCTCAGCATTTTGAGGAGTACGAGACTCTTTCTCATGCTTTCAACTCATCATCTATTACACTTGCACCAAAAATCAAAGTCCCTTATCCCTAAATGACTTTCTTCCAATAAGTCTTATGGGGTGTAGTTATAAAATAATCACCAAGATTCTAGCTACGAGCATGAAATCTATCATCGATGGTATCATTGGTGATGTTCAATCGGCTTTTGTGGAAGGTCAATGTATACTTGACGGGCCTTTGATGATTAATGAAATATGTTCTAGGGCCAAGCGTGTGAAAAAGAAAATCCTACTATTCAAGGATGATTTTGACAAATCATTTAATTCGGTTAACTGGGAATATCTAGATGTCATCCTCTCACAAATGGGATTTGTAAACAAATGACGTTGTTGGATTCGTGGTTGTGTAATCTCATATAAAGTGTTGGTCATCACTAATGGTGTGTCAACGAAAGAGTTTGAAATAACTAAAGGTGTATGTCAAGGAAACCCTCTCTCATCATTCCTATTAATAATAGCTATGGAAGGTTTGAATGTAACTCTTAAATCTGCATGTAAAAAGGTATTTTCAAAGGGTTAAAATTCCAAGCAACGGGACATTGTTATCCTGTATGATTTATGCCGACGATGCACCGTTCATGGGGGAATGGAATTGTTCCAACCTCAAAAACCTTGCATGTATCCCGTGTTGCTTCTATGTATCCTCCGTTATCACAGTGAACTTTCATAAATCAAAAGTCTTAGGAATCATGGCAAAAATCAAGAAACCAAGAATTAGGCAAATATCCTAGGGTGCGATATGGGAACCGTTCCTTGCAACTACCTCAAATTTCCAGTGCGAGTTAACGCGAATCTAGTCAAGAATTGGAAAACGATCATCAAGAAATTTCACTCCAAGTTATCCATTTGGAAGGCGAAAACACTCTCATTCGGTGTTCGACTAACATTAATAAAATCGATGTTAGGGGACCTCCCCACATACTTCCTATCGCTCTTTAAGGTTCCATTGGGGGTAATTGAAGAATTAGAGAAAATAGGAAGAATGTTTTTGTGGGGTGGACATGAGGATAAATGGAGGATACATTGGGTTTCTTGGGAAAAGGTCATAATTTCAATAAAATATGGTGTGTTAGGGGTAGGTTTGATTATTGCTTTAAATGTTGGTCTAACTGTGAAATAATGGTTGAGATAAAAATCGGAAAACCATTCCCTCTGGAGTCCTGTGATAACAGGAAAATTCGTAACTTATCTAGAAAGCCTTACGATCACCTCGTAAAAAAATCCAGTTGTGCAGTATGGAACAATGTTGTGAGTATTAAAAAGTATTATAGAGACATAACTTCGGTACTATAGATATATTTAAATAGGTGGTCAAGTCGGATGATAGAGACTTGTTTTGGTATGATACATGGATTAGGTTTAGAAAAATTGAAAAAATAATATCCTTTTCTGTTCGAAATGGATTCCCGTAAAGTTGCAATGTGGTCGACAATGTCAGCAATTGGGAACTCATGGAACTGGAAAACATTTACTGAATCCATTGATTTATCCTCACAAATGGACTTGTTGACTATTGACCTACTATCTACTTGTGTTGAACTTGGATCTGATCAATAATGTTGCAAACTTACCCAAATGATAAGTACACCATTAATTCACTCAAATGTAAAATTGATCAACAACTTCACGTTACCTCTAGAGCAACTATAATTAAATGGTGTAAGGAGATCCCGATCAAGGTTTCATGTTCATATGGAGAGTTATACAAAGGAGAATTCCATCTCCTGGTGCATTAAGAAAAATGGGTGTACATGTAAGTTCTTCAATTTGTGGTTTATGTAATTGAAGACTGGAGTGTGTTGATCACATCCTAGGAGAATTTTCATACATAAATTCTATTAGAGATAAGATTCTCAGCTAGTGTGACCTCCAAAAATAAACAATTAGTAGTGGTGAAGAACTATGTAACACCCATTAAAATCAAGTCAATTTAAAACTTTTTCAACCATTTAAAATCATTAAGTTATTATAAAGTGTTTTCAAAATATTTTAAAAATCAGAGTATCCCAGAAATCCAGATCATAAAACATGAGGAGGTGTACGATCACGCCTTCACCTTCTCGCGATCATCTGAAGTACCTGAAACAAAATCCAAAACTGTAAGCCCAAAGCTTAGTGAGTTTCCCCCAAAATACCCATATACACAACAATATACACATAATCACAAACAACATACTATAGGTCCAGTCAACCATCGGGTTGGAATACCCCATGCCCTCAACAATCGGGTTGGAATGAAAACATACTATGGGTACAGTCATCCTTGGGATGGAATACTCTAGGCCCACAACCATCGGGCTGGAATGCCCAGGTCCGTTGGCTCTCGCACAAAGCAGATAAGCCTCAACCACCAATCTAACATGTGCACATATATCAGATAATCACATAATAGTCTATAGACAAACAAACCGATCTAACATATCATAAGAACATAATAACATCCTATCTACCAGGATACCGATCTAACAGATCATACTAGAATAACATCATCCTATCTATCAGGATACTGATCTAACAGATCATAACAACATAATACCATCCTATCTACCAGGATATTGATATAACAGATCATACTAGCATAACATCATCCTATCTACAAGGATATTGATCTAACAGATCATAACAACATAATATCATCCTATCTACCAGGATATTGATCTAACAGATCATACTAGCATAACATATCAGGATAACAATCCAAAAGGGCCGACCTCGGTGCCTTAGACCCTTGAGTATAGTGAGGAAAACTCACCTCACAAATGTCGAACTGTAGCGATAAGGTCAAACTCTCGAATCACAGCCACGAACTCCACCACCTATATTCACCATAGAACCACTTCCATAAATTCTTAATTTACTAAAATACCCCCC